GGGCTGCGACATGCGGCATCCGACAACAGAGAAATCTCAAAACCATAACGTCTCATGCCCGACCGTCCTGAAGACCGCCCACAATGCTTTTACTGGGCGAGGTCTGATTGTGGTAAGGTGCACCCGAGCTGAGGTAGGGCGATGTCCATGTTGGGTGTGGAAGCCCCGATGGTGAGAAGATTCGGGTGAAAAGAGAAGCGCACAAGAAGCGGTTTTGCACGCAGAAGCCCAGCCGAGTCGTTCTACAAATCTTGCCAAAGCATCCCACCAACAGCAAGATTCAAGATGCTGCAACCACAAAATCACGGCTGCTGGTAGAGTGGGTTCGGCGGGAATAAACAGGCCAACACTAGATTACGTAGTTTTAGTGGTGTGTACACCAGATGATTTGCCTCACGCTTTTCCAATGCATTCCGAAGTGAGGTTGTTGAAATCGAGTCAGAGTTCAATCAGTTTGGTGACGTCGGGCTAAGCGTTTTGGACGGCTTTTTCGCACCTTTACAGAAGAATGAGGCTTCGGGCTCACGGATTAGAGGTTTAGGGTTAGGGTTTAGGACAAAGTCAACCCTAAATCCGGAATCTTTGACCCACTGCCGGGCTGCTGACTTGAGGGTGAGACGGATGAGGACAGCTACTCGAGCGCATGAACTTGTGTCTCTGCAAATAGCGCGCCCGACGGCAGCTCCCAACATTACTCGCGAACTTTTGAAGCTGACTTTACAACCTTACCTTCGACGGCTCCCCTGCCGCCTCTCAACCTAAGGTTCTAGTATAGTATACAGGCCAAATAGTTAGAAGTTGATTTTGGTGTATTTTATCATACAGTTATTAGAGTTAGGAACCTCTCTCTAAGACCTCTTCGCGGTCAGGAGGTAGGCTCTGCCGGTTGCGGCAGAGACTCTCGCAGAGTGTGCTTCTCTCAGACAGGCGTGCAAGGCCCGAATGGCATTTGCCAAATCTTCTGCCTCGCATATAATTATAGTGGTAGTAATAATGTAATAGTAATAATAATTTAATAACAATGTGAGCCGGTTGTTAGTGGTGCCAAAGATCCAACGCAAAAAAACTCTGCGCGCTTTCCTTTCATCATGCCTTTTCCTATCCTGTTCGATGCTTGAATGTTACCCGCCAAACCGCTGAAGGCTCTACGAGATTGCTGTAACAGGCCTAGAACTGCTGCGCAGCTTAGAATCTGATATCCCCTTCCGCTGAAGAGGGATCTTGGCTTAGAGGCTCAGTCTTCGGGGGCTTGGGTCCAGAACTCCTACGGAACTCCGACGAGTACCCAAAGCGTCTCATTATTTTGAGCCCACGCACCAGTTCGTCAGCCGCGTCGTCTGTACACGTTGCAGCCTGCAGACCTGTCCGCTTGGGACAAACACATCACGACTTGCGTGCACTATGTCACCTAGTCGTGGAGGAGCAGACGCGAATGCCAAGATCCCATGGTCTGGTTCAGGCACTTGGCGGCCACTCTCACCGTGCTCTGCCACACCTCGTCCTTCACATCCCCGGTTTCGACATCCACGCGCTGGTGTATCCATGTTGTCCAAGGCTTGGTCTGGCGCGACTCTTCCCGAAGCAACATCAGCTGCAATCCCAGCCAGTTCAGGCCATGACCATCCTTGTTATCTGACCAGAAGCGGTCCCGACCGCATTTCGAGTTGTGTTCTAGTAGGTACGCGTCCCCCGTCTGCTGCAGGCGCGCATGCATGGCTGTCCCAGGTGCAAACTTCACCCGAAGCACCTGAAACATTCCGGCCATGTTGCTGCCAAAGCCTCCATAGGTCCAGTCCGCCTGCCCCTCTCCCTCCAAGCCTCGCTTCTTTTCGAAGGCTTGGGATCCCGAGAGCTGCCGAAACTCCTCGGCCCTGGGCCAAAACTTCAGGGCCTGATAGGCAGCCTCTGCATTCCCAAAGCAGTGCACCTCTCCGGGGCGCAGGGGAGCTTCCAGACACAGCTCCTCTGTCAGGGGATAGAAATTCCCCAAGAACTCAGCTTGACAGAGCCTGTCCCAGTCTTCCGCTCTGTCCGGATAATAGAATGCAATGACACCTACATTCCCTAAACCAAGCATGCACGACTTCCAGCGTAGCCAGGCCATCCGCAGTTCCCCAAGCCAGCCAAGACCTGGAGAACGGCTACGGGGATCCGGAAAAGGGATGGCTCTGGGCTCCGAGTCCTTCAAGGCACTGCGCCGTTGCCACCAGGTCTGCAGGACCCAGCGGGACGGTAGAAGCTGGTAAGCTGTGGCGAGAGCCGCAAGAAGGACTAGTGGCTGCTTGACCACCACTGCGGCCTTGAGGGATCCGGGGTTCCAGAACGTCATCATCGCTTCTTCCTGGACACTACCAATACAGTAGGAGGTTGTCAGAAGTGGTGTGCGGACGCTGGAAGTCCGTGATGTGCATGCCCTAGAGTGCTGTTCCTTTAGGTGTGAGAGCTGGGGGTGTGTTGGACAGCGGAGTGTTGCAACGGCTGGAGCGGCCATTCAGAAATTCAAAGGCATGCCCAGTAGTCGAACATTGCTAGCACGACAGTACTGCGAATTTTGCGACCATCGAAGTATGTAAAAAGTGGTCGTGAAAAACACAACAATCAAAATCATTCCATACATCAACACACGCGTTAAGGTCCCGCCAAAGTTTCCGAAAGCACCGGGAACGAGAAATCCGAGTAATAAAGAAACTCTCGTTGCAAGACGCTTCTGCCTTTTGAGGTCTGTTTGGTCTGGTGGGAAAAACTACTAAGCACCAACGCCAGCACCATCACTATATCATGATCCCCACCATAAGCACGATCGTGAACACTGCAACAAGCTGTCAAAAAAAACAGACCAGGAGGCGCAAACAACAAGAAGGACCATCATAAGAAGGCAATCAGGAAAGTGCCAATGCAGGTTCATGATCCTCCCTGTGCAAACACAATTGAGAAGTGGTGATCATGACCGCCGAGTCTTCAGCAAGGGTACTGCACACCTAAGACACACTACAACTTCTCGGAGTCCCCACGTATTCATTTGTGCATGTGTGTATGTATGTGTGTATATATATATAGAGAGAGAGAGAGACTTGTGTTTATGTATGTAAGTATGTGTGTGCATGTGCATATAGATATATATATATAGAGAGAGAGAGAGAGAGAGAGAGAGAGAGAGAGAGAGAGGCATCCTAGAAACTTACCGTCTGAACAAGACCCCACAAGCCTGCTCGAAGTATGTCCAGACCCTATAGCGAAGAAACGACTCCAATGCCCCGAGCCTTCTACTGGAGGTCCTCCTGTGCCGCAGAGACCGCCTAGAACGAGGCGCGCCAGAGCAATATGACTACATCTACTGTGATATAATAAAGTATGGTATAATATGATATGATATAATGCGTCAGGAGTTACGGCTTGGGGATTAGGGCTTAGAGTTGAGGGTAGAGGGCTTGAGTGGAGTATGACACCCTAAAGCCTAAACCCGACACAACGGGGCCATCGGGTAAAGGATTTAGAGTGTCGGGTTAGGCCAACGCTTAGCTAGCTTCAGGGCTCAGGATTGAAGGACTGCTGTGGCTGGGAATGTAGGGCTAGGCGTTGGGTTGGGTTTGCGAATTTAGGGTCGTAGGATTCTCCACTTTGCTCCGCGGTGGAATCCTGATTAATCATATTTCACAACCCTTGGGATACTTGATGACTGCTTGATCAAATACTTGCTAGGGAACTCTGACTCAAGATGCCCCTCAATTCGACCGGGCAGCGCTGACCGGATCATCCAGACCCGGCGATTGTTGCTACTAGACTAGCTGCTCATGTTCTGGAGAGTTCATGCTCTTCCTGGGTATCGTCGTCGTGCCGTAGCAGCGTCGTCGTGGTAGCCTCCGAGGAAGTCTTGAAGTTGCAGTGGCCGTCGCCGTCGTAGCAGCAGTTGTTGTCAAATTCAGACGCAGACCGTGACGACAGCTACAGCTATCGGTGCCCAGTATCAGCAGGAAAGGTATTACAAAAACCACGGTGGTGTGCTCCCACTTGCTCGTACAAGACCCCTCGCAAACTCGCGGGGTGCCTGCTGCGGAAACTTGCTCTGCATCAGCGGCGAGTTATCTCGGAAGAAGCCTGGCAGGAAAGCGACATGAACCTTCCTTATAGTCGGTCCTCATGTCCCGTATAGCAATCCTGCAACATCCGCAACTTTGAGACGTGGCAGTTTCTTTTCTTACCAACTTCGGCCAGTACGATTACTACGACTACGAGAGCGACGACGACCTACACAACCAGGAAGACCATGGAAATCAAAGTGAAAATTTTGAGAACGGCCTAACACTAACTAAAGATGATCTTGTATGCTTTTGGGAGGATAGAGCTCAGGGCCCAACAATCCGGCTTCAGCGATCACAGCCCCTGACAGTATTCTGAACAAAGTCGCCAGATTTCTTGAGTGGTTTGTGCCTTCTGTGCTTGAGAAGTAGTGGTAGTGGGTGTCTGCACTGACATGCTGACACACCTTGCCTGGGCGTCCGAACTGCACTCGGTACCTTGGCAACTTGCTGGCGAAATCTTTCCCGAGCCTCGGGCATCATAGCCCTTCGGTTTTAGGCTTCAGCATCCCGAACACACTCTTTCTGGGAGCCCCGGAAGAGCAGGAAGGAAACCCTCAAGCCGAAACGGACCCTGAAGCCGATAACCCTACACCCGAAATTTACTAAAGCCCGTACTGTAGCCGACTGTAGCCCCAACGCTGCACTCTCAACTTTCCTCCCACCCTCGCCCAAGTGCGGTGTAGCTGCGAGGTGGGTACCTGGGCATAGCTGCCGGAGGGCCACCAGTTGGCCCCAGAGCCTTGCATGGGTCTCGGCTGGTTTCAGGATCTTGGTCTAATTCTAGTCTCAAGACTCCTTGGGGCAGCCGGTTTTAAGCAGTGCCGTTCGCTGGATGGCCAGGTTGCTAACAGATGAGAACGGGGATGACGCTTACACTGACTACGCGTACCATGGACGTGTCCTGTCACGCTATCTTTCCGTCGGCTCTCACGGCCTTTTGCGTTTTGGGACAGGATCAAGGCCGCCCACGTTATCCTGGAAGACCCCGGGGCCAAAGAACCGAACATCGGAATCCCTGGACCCTCAATGCATAGTAATAGCATCACCTTCGAGTCCAATGGTTATTTATACTTCTTTGCTATAATGTAGCCCAAAACACTATTCTAAATATCTGAGAAAAGTATTGCTCAGGAAGGTCCCCGAACCAACTCTCTACAATCCGAGGCAGCGCGATTGAAGCTCACAGAAATTTAGAAAGCAGAAACGTAAAAGAGCAGATTGAGTTAGGCAATGCGATAAAAAAAAGATCCAAGCGACATGATCATGGATACATGGCAGTTTCAGATGTGGACCGTAGTGACAATAGTACAACAGTGGGATCCATCATGTAAGGACCTCCAAAAGGCGAACCCTAATTATCAGCCTCCATACATGAACTGAACCTCATGATGAAGCCCAGTCCAACACCGTTCACATTGAAACACACCACGAGCTCTCCAAGCGGCCCTGGCTGCGGAATCCAGTGCCTTCGCCTTTCAATAAGAGGAGTGTTTGGGGTTTAGGGGGTTTAGGGTTTAGGGTTTGGGGTTTAGGGCTTGGGGCTGAGGGGTTGGAAGGACCAGCACGAGCAATCGAAGACTCAAAATTGCTCGATTCCTTGAAGTGCTGATTCAATTGCTTGCACTTTTGGCCTTACGGTCCTTTACATGTTAGATGACTTTCGTATTCAAAGGCCTCAGTCTTGCGAGGTATGGGGCAGTTGCAGCGCACCGTGCCTGTGAAGGGGAAGGAGATCATGTTCGCCTGCGCATCACTCGAAACTCTTGTCGGAGCCATTGGGTTGGAAGGAAGCCTAAACTCCAAGGCTCTTTAACCCCAAACCTCGCCATTTCCACGGCCATGGAGGGCCCGCGACCTCTGAGATTGCTTCTGCATGCCGTTCAAGAGCCGCACACATGGGCGATGAATTCAACGACCACAAGCAGGACGACAGAAACAGCAGATGTCATAACAACCACCAGAAGTCAGCACTGCACCAGGATTTTCGACGATGGTTACGACGACGACCCGAGTTGAAAGCGCCAAGTCCTCCATCACCACCAGCCTTCCGCCGCCGCCGGGCATGAGCGAACAAGCAACTAAGTCACAAGCTACAACTCACCCCAACTCGCCCCACCAAAACCCTTCCAAATGAGGAAGCCGGCATGTCATGCTTCCCAAAATCCTTATGATCGGGCTGCAAGGATAGGGCAGTGGAGTCTCACGAAGTCCCTTCGTACGCCCCGGCCCCGGCAGATCCTCCACTCTCCCCATCCGCCAGGCCTTCTTCAGCTTGCTGAGCTGCGCGGTGTTTAGGCGGTCCCTGTCATTTTCAGCTTCCCTCTGGGCCCTTATGGGCCAGGGCTAAGGGCTTCGAGGTGGGAGTTGCCATGGCAACGCGACTATCGCAAGCCTTGTGATGCAACAGACCTTGCGGTTTGCTTTGCTTTGGCTTTGGCTTCTTGCGCCCTGCCAAGACGGCAGATTCACCGGAGCTTGATATAGGGGCCTTAATAATCAGAGAAGGGTTTTGAAGTACACTATGCTATAAAAAGAATAAGGAACCCCCACAGTAGTATTGGAAATTATTTAGGCCCCTGGATTGCATGCTCGCAGTCCCATTCCAACTTCCTGCATCTCTTTACCGCGTGGCTCCATGATTGCTCAAGGAGGGGCCAAGTCCATCTATCCAGGCTCTCCCAAACCCTAACCCCTAAGCCCTTGATTGGCATGATACATTAGGTAAGTCTCTCCTTGCCTTCATTGCACCTGCTGCTGTCCCTGCTTTTGCTATCTGGCTAACTGTGATTGCTATTCGAATCATGGGTTTCATCAGGCACCACCATGCCATTTCTCCTTGATATTGCCCGTGCCCACGACCACTACCACAGCCATCGAGTCACTGCCGATGCAACTAGTCCAACTCCTGCCGAAACCGAGCGGCTTGTGCTCACGCTGCATGTTCTTGGGGACCTGGGCCGATCAGACGCCAACTGGGAAGATATGAGGGAAGAAGTGGGAGCGGAATGGTAGGCACCTTTCTGTAAGGGGATCCCTAGATAAGGTTCCTGTAACTCTGAGAAACTCCCAAATAGTCATGATAGGCAAGACAACGATAGCAGGACTAATAGGCATGCAAGCAAGAATAGGTACAGAGCAAGAGCAAGATGGCCAAATTGCCATAAACACCAGACCAAAGCAGACGAGTGCTAGTCACACAGTGAAACAGCGCGGGACGTCCATCCGTAAACGTTAACATTATTGAAAGCCGAGGGGGGCTGCAGGTCTGCGAACGTTCAATAGCAGAGCAAGCCTTATGCTGGCGGAAGGTGGAAGCTTTCGCAACACAACTCGTCCAGACGCAAGAACTGCGGCCGCGGCAAAGTAAGAGAAGTGGGCGTCTTCCAGCTTTTTGATGACCGGGTTGCGCTGAGAGCACAGGCTGGATGGGCTATGCTTGCCAGGGGTTAGGATTGTAGGGTAGTGGATTTGTGAGGTTTGTAATTGCAGAGCTTCAGACTGCTACAGCACTCGTGTTGCCATTAAGGCTACCCTTTTTTGGTCATCAGTTCTAGGCTGCAGGATCTGCAGGGTCCAAGGGTGGCGGTTGCCGGCTCCAGGCATAAACGGGAGAGTTTGGGCCAAGGGCTATGGGTGGTGGCGGCGCTTGCCAGCACTCTCCGCATGACGACGGCGACGACCCCAACACTTCTAGCCCAACCTTGCAGGTATGGCTAGTGACTACCGTCGCTTGCCCGCTGTCCTGCTGTTCTGGGCCTGAACCGGCATCTTTCAAACCATGAACCCCGAAAGACACAACCGACCTCGGAGAGCTTAGGCGGCGCTTCGCTGCGCCGTGCGATGGTGGGCAGCGAGAAGGTCTGTGTCAGGGGGGCGCTGCAGGGATTATTCCGAGACCGCTTTGGCACTCAGTGCTGTTCGGCAACTTTGCATTTGGCAGTTGTCACCACGGTCGTGATGATGAGGATGATGATGATGATGACGATGATGATGATGATGGTGGTGGTGGTGGTGATCATGGTGATGATGGTGATGACGGTGATGATGGCGATGGTGATGACTACGAAGAACGCTGTGCTTCTTCGCTGGTTGCGGTTCGGTAGTGTCATCTTTCCACATGTTGCGGGCCTTACAGTGGTTAAGATGTAGCAATTCTAGAGCTTGGATGCAATTCCAGATCCGGCACCATGAAGATCAGGTCTTTAGTTGGGTTGTGCCTTGTGGTGACACCAGGGTCATGGAGGCTCGGCCATCTGTGTTGTTTTAGTACATGAACTGGTTTATCGGCTATCTATTCCTGCTTTCTTCTGGTGGAGGGGCATGTTGCCGGGTGCGTGGAGGTTTGTCCTCTGGCAAGCACCTCATGCCTTGCGGGCAACACCCTGCAAGGCTTCGGGGGATGCATGATGATGATGACGACGATGGCGATGATGATAGTGATGATGCTGCCGCTGGTGTTGATGATGTTGTTGATGACGCTGGTGGTGGTGATGGTGAGGACTGTGACAGCGATGTCGACGACTGAGACTACGACAAACATAGCCTTGACACTGACTTCATACTAGTAAGATGCAATAGCAATTACTGGCGGAAAAACCTGGTCAAACCGCGGTTGTTAAAAGCATCAAAGCAGCGGCAGCAACCACCGCCGCCACCACCACGACTACCAGCACCACGTCCTGCACCACCACCACCACCACCACCACCACCGCTACCACCATCACCACCACCATCACCACCACCATCACCACCACCCCACGGCTACAACCATGACGATCAAGAACACAACGGACACAAAAGTTTCAAAAACATTGGCAGGAAACATATATGGTTGTAAGACAATGGGCAAACAACGAACTTGTGCTCAGACGCAACAACCTGGCAATCACTACCAAAGACAACAGCACAACTGCGACAGCAACGTTATCATTGCGAAACTTGCGACAGTGTAGCAACATAGCCGTATGTAGTGGTACAGCAGCATAATACAAGAAAAAGTGACATAGAAACATAGTAAGTCTAAGCCGTCGCCAGAGTCCTACGAAGGATAGCCATCAGCTCTGCTAAGCCTTGGCCAACGACTGCGGCTTGCTCGGCGACAGGGTAGCTTTGGCCACTGGCGAGTTGTAGGTCCTGCATGCTTTCGGATGGTGCAGCAGTCGGTTGCTAGGCGGAGATCAGGGACTTAAGTTGTTGCGGCCCCTTGGATGTGGGCTTTCGGGTACACGTGCACAAGTGCCCGTGGACACACATGTACATGAGCACTTTTTCAAGTGCATGGAGAGAATGCGTTCCTTTGTACGAACTTGTTTACATGCGAACAGAACGATGACGAAAGGACTGCATAGACAGATATGCAGTCAAAACGTATGCAGCTAGATAGACAGAAAAATAGATAGATAGACGGATAGATAGACAGATAGATAGATACACACACGCACAGACAGACAGACAGATAGGTAGGTAGATACATAAATGGACAGATATATGGATAGATAAACGCAAAGACAGATTAGATAGGTCGATGAACCGACAGAAGAACAGGTAGGTAGATAGATAGACAGATAAACAGCAAAAGCAGATAATCAGATATCATCTATACATGCACCCGCATGAAATCAAAACATACGCCGGATGTGCGTATGTCTGTACGCATGCATGGATGTGTGTATGTACTGCTTGTACGCTTGCAGGCCTGCATGTATGTATATAACCAAAATCATAACACGCACTGACATCTGTATTAAAGACATGGTGTAGTATGCGCTGTAAGCCAATAACCTCACCTTTGGAGCAATACTGCACATGATGTATTCTTGTTCGCCTGCATACTGTGACGGCGTTTGTCCTGCAATCTCTAGATCATTCTAGATCACTCCCACCTCAGCATCTCATCCACGTCATGCCGCTCGAAGACTCTGCGGTCATCTGGCTCCTGTCAGAAGAATGCAATTTCACTTGCACGCAGATTGTAGACAAACATCGCACAATGCCCTTCCATATCCTTGAGAGATCATACACCCAACAGCAATGCTCGAAGTCAAAGCTAGAAGGCGAAGCTAGCCGTTGCCTCCACACTCCTGAGCCCTTACAGCGAGCATGCCAAGTGCCAGCCAATTCAGAGTCCGAAGGGCCTTGTGCCAGTGGACTTGGAGTTTCGGGGACAGCAACAACAAAGTTCGTTATTCTATTCGTGGTGATAACAGGAAGAAAAGAACATCGTGGCAAGCTTCAGATCAGCAGTCGTCGCCACTTTGGCACTAGTAGCCGTCGTCTTTACGAGCAGGAAACAGAAAATGGCCAACCAAATCTGTTGCGAGGTTGGTCTAACGGGCAACCAAGCAACGACAAGACAAGTGACAGGTAGTAGGAATGAACTAAGACTGGCAACAACCGTGATAACCGGACAGACAGAACTGGCACAATCATATCCGAGTAGGCACATGTACAATCGTGGGCTCCCTCGAAACTACTATACCCCCATCATAGAATATCATAGGCAACCGCAACGAATCGCGGTCTAGTCCTAACCTTCTGCCATGAACCTTCGACACTAAAATCGCAAACCCACTCCTGGATGCGCGTGATGGCCATGTGCTCGCGCGGGTTGGGAATGTCCGTGTCTTCCGTGAGGGCCTTACTTACGAGGCCCACACCAGGGGGCTTCTAAACCCGAAACCTGTTGGTATTTTGAGCTTCTGAACTCCTGGGCGGAAGCATTTCTCAAGCTTTGCGCCTCCGAGTCCTGGGAGTCAAAGGTCGTGCTTCCCATGCATGACACTGAGGAAGGCTACTCGAGGTCCTCATGGATCTGAACTTCGCACCCCGTACAGACAGCATGATGCTGAACAAGACTCCAAGCTCCCGCAACTCACGGCCCTAATCCGAAAGGCCTCGAAACCCCGGACCCTCTGAGAAAGCCGACCAGCTCCGAGTTTGTCAGCCTGCCCAGGAAGGAGAGGTTTAGGAGGTTAGGGCTTCGGCTTCTGGGTGTGGATGCTCTTAGGGGGTGCGAGGGGTAATTGAGGCTTTGGGAAATTGGGGTTCAGTGCTTGAGGTTTGGAGGTTTGGGTCTGTGAGGTTAGAAACTCCGGCTACGGCAATTGGAAGGGGACTGCTGAAGACATTGCCAAGGATGTTCGTGGGCGACGGTGATGGTTTTGGTGAAGATGACCAGGCTGCCACTTCCGCCGCTGCTGCTGCCACTGCTACAGCTGCTGCAGGTAACAAGTGAAAGGCTGCCGGTTGCGATGCTGATGCTGATGATGCTGCTGCTGATTATGATGCTGATGCTGATGCTCCTGGTGATGATGGAGATGGTGATGATGACGATGGGGATGAGGATCAGGATGAGAATGAAAACGATGAGGATGAGGTGGGGATGGCGACGATGATGACGATGATGAAGATGAAGATGGCGAAGACAAGAATGTGATGATGATGATGATGGTGATGGTGGTGGTGATGGTGGTGGTGGTGGGGGTGGTGATGGTGGTGGTGGGGGTGGTGATGGTGCTGGTGATGGCGATGGTGATGGTGAAGTTGAAGGTGATGGTGATGGTGAAGTTGAAGGTGATGGTGCTGGTGATACTGATGGTGATGATGATGATGATGAGGATGGCGATGGTGATGATGATGATGATGATGATGATTATGGTGATGGTGGTGATGAGGATGAGAGGACGATGGCGATGATGATGATGATGACGTTGACGTTGACGTTGACGATGACGATGATGATGATGATGATAATGGTGGTGGTGGTGGTGGTGGTGGCGGTGGCGGCGGTGGCGGCGGTGGCGGTGGCGGGGGCGGCGGCGGCGGCGGCGGCGATCGTGGCGATGATGATGATGATGATG